AGGACTCGTCGTAAACTCTTTGACTGCCAACAATACCAATAATCCCATGAACCCGTCAACCCAAGGTCATGGGTTCGAGCGTAGTAGTGACATTAGAGGTATGCCGTCGACTACCATCTTCCTACCACATCGTTCATTTACCACAGCAGCAAATTTAGCTACCCCCGAACTCGAAGATAACCAGGTATCCCAGAGTTCCCGGCGTGGACTCCTTTCAGGGAGAAGAGAATGGTCTAGAGTCAACTCATTCCAATCAGATGACACTCCCCCTCCCACATCTAGATCATTGCATACAATGACAGAAGGTCATAATGATAATGCTACTCTACAAGGCAAGATCCCTTCCGACCCTTTGACACACTACACCTACGTCCCAAGCTATCTCAATGAGAAAGGCTTAGTAACACGGCACATTGGTAAAGTTACGAAGGTTAGTGAGGTCGCAAAAGCGGACACACTCCCTGCACCCTTGCAAACTCCAAGAAAAGGATATAGGACACGTATTCTCAATGATCGAATGGACTCATACCGTTCAATCGATCAACCCGAGGATCATGGGCCCATATATTCCCCAAAGAGACGAGAAATGGAAGGGGATCAGGGGGACAATAAAGATGCGATACAAGCGAACATCAACACTCGACAAATAAGTAGTGTAGGAGCCACGCTGGATAGAGACGTTAATAAACGATTAATGGAGCGGGTACGGCGTGCTATCCATGGTGACATGCGAGTAGTGAGTATCATTCAAAGTTCAGTTCAGAGGCAGTATACTCACCTTCCTATTCGCAGGCTGTGTATGCCAGCTCCCGGGGCACCTCCACTAAAGGCAACCTTTCTCCTTCTGTACGACCCAATGAAGCCACTCAGGGCGCCATTTCCTCTGCTGGTACTATACATGTAGCGCTCCCCTCCCCAGTGTCCAAACCCTCCTTGCCACCACCACGATCTACAAAAACGATGCCTCGTTCAAACATTCCTAAACTCTGGATCCCCACAGCTATTGACACGAATCATGCCTCGGAGTTTCCTGCTCATTTGGGCTCAGCAGCGATGATTCCCCGGTATAGGCCGTCTCGGAATACATCTCTCCCATTATCCTCCATCTATCACAGCCCAAAGAACCTGACGATCACCACTTCTGACATTTCTAGCCCAACAATTCCGAAGCCGCCACCTGCGCCAATCCTTCCAATCGGTTCGAAGGGAAAATCCAGCACCGACATCAACTTAATAAATAGAGATGAAGAAGATCCCATGTTTGCTACGACCTCGCATGGCCTCGCAGAGAATGATAAATCGCGTGATGATCCAGCATTACATTCGCCTGTTAACTTTGATGAAATATTTATCAGTCATAGCGACATAGATTCATCTGGTGTACCCCCTCCATCTGATAACCAGTAGGTTCTCTCGTCTATCTTGTAGTTTGGCAACCTATTGGAGACATGTATTTCGACACATCTATTCAGAATTTGCTAGAAATGTACAAATGTTATGGTTCAAGCTAGCAGGTGTGGACCTTTTTGAGATGCGACATCCATTCTGTGGAAGGTGGGAGTTGGGAAAAGGAGAACATAGGATATTGAACGGATCCCCTATGACTATCATTTGAAAGACTTTCTTTCAATAATTTCATATGGAGTATATATTGCTTCGTTGATGTAATTCAGAATCTGAATTGATGGAAAGGTGCGATCCAAACGGAGCTGTGTATGTGAGGCTGGAGGATTATTCATGCGAATCTTCCTCCCTCATTGGACCTCACCATGGCCATCTATAATTCTGCAATTATCATAGCAGCCATAGGATTGGGTTTATCCGATGTAGTGAGAGCTCATGAGCATCACGGAGATGGCGGAGACCCAAACGGGGAATTAGACGCATTAGTCTTGATCCATATTGCCATACAATTCGCGGTCTGGTGTATGATCTTTCCTATTGGTCTAATTTTTGGTTTCTCGAGGTACGTCATGTCGTATAACCTACTTGACAGCACGAGACCGAGTCAATTAATGACGACGCGGTTGTTTCCAGGGCTCGATGGCATGTACCATTACAGGTGATACCACGTGCAATCCATTAAACAAACACGCACTAACATGAGAGTAGGCTACTGGTTTTCTTCTCACTATTGGTGGATACATTCTCGGACACAAGCACAAGGGCCGCACATTCCCGCCTTCGTTACACGGCGAACTGGCCAACCTCATCATGTTTGCAATTGGGCTCCAAATAACACTCGGCACGTACCTCAAGCTCCATATCAACGAAGGGACAAAGTTTCGTTCTTGGATGGTCTTTGCACATCGAATAGTAGGCTTGAGCTATCCGATGCTTGGATGGACACAAGTGCTGTTCGGCATGTTGGTCCTTGGGAATATCTGCCCACTTGATACCAACTCGACACGCATGACAATTCTGAAATGTGCCGAACCAGTAGGTAGTTTGGTGCCTTGACTACAAGCGGCTGACAATCCTTGTAGTTTGCTACTGGCACGCTAGTGATGCAGTATGGAATTTATAGCTACCTTCTCTCGATGGTCCTTCCTAGGTGGAAAGGCCAAAGTCCGGAGACATGGGATAGCTTGATCTTGTGCATCACGGTGAGTAACCCAGTCTCGTATATCAACTCAATGCTTAGTCTATAGGGTGTCCTGAGCGGGATCCTCAACCTATGGCGACTTGGTTCAATATGGGTCGGCATTTTCTGTAAGTCACTGGTACAATATCGTACTGCATGCTTATCAATCGAATGATAGGGACGGTCGGGGGTATCGCATCCTTTATACTCTCGAGAAATGGAAGAAGGACCATCGTTCCCTCTGTAGTGTATGTCCCGTCATTCCTTCTTGGCACCTTTCTTACTCATCGATAGAATCATGATTACTGCGGTCGTGGAGGCATTCAAGGCAACCAAGAATAGCGACGGTGCGATCGTAAGTGACATTTGGGACTTCGGCACGAGGGTCATCCCTAAATATCTCTTTAGTTTCCTACCTTTGCATCCTTCCTATTCCTGGCAGGAGGTGCGAGGATGATGGAAGTGTTCTTCAATGCAAAGCCAAAACAGTCGCCTTCCAGTGCAGATCGCTCAACGTGGTCTTGGATTGTCGCAGTGGTACGTATTTACTGACTCTTAAATAAATAGACGCTGACAATACGATGAACAGTGCTTCGCTTCTGCAGGGTACGCCTCTTCGTTTAGTATTTAGTACACATAACTGATCCCATTTCTAGAGTGGTTTATATGACATCGAGTCCGGACTTTCTACGAGCAACTGGGTTCACACAGATCTATGCCATTCCTTACCTCGCTTTTATTCTTGGGTGAGTCTTAGTTCAAGTCGGACCGTAACTATATCTCATGCTCGTTGTAGACTTGCTCTTTCAATTGGAGCGTTTGTCACCCTCCTGAGCTACCTCTTCTACAACACCGGCAGGAACGCCCAATTGTTCGAGCCAAGGAGAGAAGAGCGCGGTGGTAAGTTCGTCGTGGAGGATTCGGATGAAGAGGACGCTATGCTACCACACAGCGAGGCTTTCGAGTTACATGGGACGATCCCCCATGCTTCCGAGTCTGATGATTGAGGTTAGCTTTTATTATTTTAGACTTTTTGTATCCCTATATCGAGTTTTTTGTTTAATCTGCATTTGTGCTGCAACCCTGTCTATTTTTGCCTTTGAGGGATATACTCGTTATTCAGTTGAACTTCCTCATCTGAGAATCGTGTGTGGTTCATATGCTTTCCCGTTTCTTGGGTCGCCAGTTTCGCTGATCGAGTGCTCTAGGCCACAAATCAGATCCTGATCCCTGCCGCCTCTTCCACTCAACCCACGCCATGCTCCTGACTCTTGTACATTACAGCATTCTAACTACCTAATATTACCAGCATTTATGACCACTTCGTTCCGGAAGAACTGCTCTATTGTCAGATACGCTGAGACACATACATCCGACATCATGTCGTTCACTCTCAATCCAGAAAGTGTAGACCATAATTTTGGTTCAGAAGTCTTAGATAGACAGTCAAAAACGAGAGGGTCGACTGTCAATCTGGTTCTATGACACCCTCCATACGCCTTAGGAATGTCAGCGTCTACCTGGTTTATCCATGTAAGCGCCCAGTTCTATATATAATCCAGGAACATGGTTTTATCGCGCTTAGTGTACT